ACCGGAATCTTGTAACTGTCGTCACTTTTGGGCACCTGAAACTAAAATATGGAGGAAGTATCAGGCGGGAGCCACGTCTGTGAGTGAATTGCCAGAAAGTCTAAGGCGGAAGCCCCCTCCACATGGAGCCCGCCGCTCATGTATTGAATCCGAGCGGGTCATCGGAATCAGATAATTGTCGTCACTTTGGGGCCCCCGAGGCCTGAATATGGAGGAAGTCTCAGACGTGAGCCTTGTCTGTGAATGAATTGCAAGAAAATCTCAGGCGGGAGCCCCCTCCCTATGGGGCCCGCCGCTCACATTTTATTAATCCGAGCGGGGCATCGGAATCCTGTAGCTGTCATCACATTTGGGCCACTGAGGCCTGAATATGGAGAACGTATCAGGCGGGAGCCTCGTTTGTAAGTGAATTGCAAGGAAGTCTCAGGCGGGAGCCCCCTCCCTATGGGGCCCGCCGCTCATGTATTGAATCCGAGCGGGTCATCGGAATCGCGTAACTGTCGTCATTGTTGGGCCCCTGAGGCTTGAATATTGACGAAGTATCAGGCGGCAGCCTCGTCTGTGAGTGCATTGCGGAGAAGTCTCAGGCGGGAGACCCCGCCTTATGGGGCCCACCGCTCACGTTTTGTATCCGAGCGGGTCACCGGAATCTTGTAACTGTCATCACTTTTGGGTCACTGAGGCCTGACTATGGAGGAAGTATCAGGCGGGAGCCTTGTCTGTGAGTGCATTGCGAAGAAAGCCTGGGTGAATTGCAAGGAAATCTCCACTGGGAACCCCCTCCCTATGCAGCCCGCCGATTATATGTTTAATCCGGGCGGGTCATCGGAATCCTGTAACTGTCACTACTTTGGGCCCCTGGGGCCTGATTATGGAGGAAGTATCCGGCGGGAGCCTCGTCTGTAAGTGAATTGCGAGGAAGTCTCAGGCGGGAGCCCCGCCCCAATTGGGCCCGCCGCTAATGCTTTTAATCCGAGCGGGTCATCCTCGAACTTGTAACTGTCGTCACTGTTGGGCCACTGAGGCGTCAATGTGGAGGAAGGAAGAATCAGGCGGGAGCCTCGTCTGTGAGTGACTTGCGAGGAAATGTCAGGCGGGAGCCCCCTCCACATGGGGCCCGCCGCTCATGTGTTTTTCTCCGAACGGGCCATCGGAATCCTGTAACTGTCGTCACTGCTGGGCCCCTGAGGCCTGAATATGGAGGAAGGAAATATCAGGCGGGAGCCTCGTTTGTAAGTGAATTGCAAGAAAGTCTCAGGCGGGAGCCCCCTCCCTATGGGGCCCGCCGCTCATGTTTTTAATCCGAGCGGGTCATCGGAATCGCGCGACTGTTTTTCATGGTTGGGCCCCGGAGGCCTGGAAATGAAGGCAGCATCTGGCGGGAGCCTCGTCCGTGAATGAATTGCGAAGAAATCTCAGGCAGGAGCCCTCTCCCTATGGAGCCCGCCGCTCACGTTTTTTATCTGAGCGGGCCATCGGAATCCTGTAACTATAATCACCTTTGAGCAACTGAGGGCTTGAATATGGAGGAAGTATCAGGCGGGAGCCTCGTCTGCGAGTGAATTGCGAGGAAGTCTCAGGCGCGAGCCCCATCCTATGGGACCCGCAGCTCATGTTTTCAATCTGGGCGGGTCATCGGAATCAATTAACTGTCGTCACTTTTGAGTCCCTGAGGCCTGAATATGGAGGAAGTATCAGGCGGAAGCCTCGTCTGTGAGTGAATTGCGAGGAAGTATCAGGCGGGAGCCTCCTCCCTATGGGGCCCGCCGATCATGTTTTTAATCCGAGCGGATCATCGGAATCCTTTAACTGTCTTCACTTTTGGGCCCCTGAGGCCTGAATACGGAGAAAGTCTCAGCCGGGAGCCTCGTCTGTGAGTGAACCGCGAGGAAGTCTCGGGCGGAAGCTCCCTCCCTATGGGGCCCACCGCTCTAATTGTTCCTCCTCCTCCTCCTCCTCCTCCTCCTCCTCCTCCTCACTCTCCCTCCTCATCCTCCTATTCCTCCTCGTTCTCCTCCTCCCTTCTCCATCTCATCCTCCGCCCATCTCCTTTCCATCCTCCGGCCATTGCACAGCCTCGTGCTTGTTGTCGGGAAATCAGTGCTTAGCATCTGCCCGAAAACCGCAGCAACCATCGTCTGCACACCCTTCACGTCGGAGCCCGCTGCCGAACGAGATCACAACGCACAACCAGGTGCGGAGCCAAAGCCACGAATTCATCTGATAGCTTGGCACCAATCAAGCCAAAATGTACTAAGGAAGAGCTGCTGTCCTCTATGTTCAAGCTCTGAGTCAGATTCGGCATCGCCAAGACGCGTGCGAAGTGAGCTATTCCACTTGTTGTGCTGGGTGCCTTGTCCTGCGCGCAAGCAGTCGTGCATTTCCCCCTACCCGCTCTCAGGAGAAACTCGACGTCCCGATTCCTCAAACGCTTGCTTGCGGCCACGAAACGGCACGCCCCAGGCCAGCCCAGGCCCAACAATTCCCTCCTCAGACTGCTCCCCTCCTGCTCACTCCGTGGAGACAAGGAGCAGCCTCAGGAAGACGGCCTCAGGGGAGGCAGAACTGAGGCTGAGAACTGCGAGCCCAACGCGCCCAGGAGCAACGAAAAGGCAAAGGGCAAGGCTCCAGACGCCGATGCGAGGCGAAGCCGGGACAAGAACAACATCAGACCGGGACACATCGGGGATCCCCCAGAGAGCCGGCGGGTCTGGGCGGCGCGGCCGCTTCAGAGCGTGCCGGAACGCTCTGAGAGCGTTCTGGAAGGCTCTGGAGCGAGTCCTCCCGGCCCTGGGCCTGCCTGGCGGTGCCCTTGTCGACCAGGCCCTTTCCGGCTGGACTCCGACTGCTCTGCTGGAGGTGGCAAGGTAAACGGCGAGGACGAGAGAGAGCTGCAGAGGGGTTCGGCCCAGACGGGAGAAGAGGGCCACCCTCTTCCATTCCGTGGCCTCCCATCGCATTCGACCTTCTCCTCGACATCATCTGGCACTCCTTCGCCTCCAATCTTCTCCTCCTCCTGCTTATCTTACTCTCTCGCCTCCCCATGAGAAGAGTAAGAGAAGGAGAAAGAAAAGAAGATAAGGTGAGCGGGAGGAACGGGCAAGAGGGGGACCTCCCTCCTCCCTCCTCCCTCCCCCGTCTCTCCTCCCTCGCCCCTCCTCCTCCCTCTCTTCCCGACCCCTCCTCCCACTCCCAAACCCCCTCACCCACTCCCCTTCGCCCACTTCCTCCCCAGACCCCCCGACGTCATGATCTGATTCACAGCGTCGACCCTCAGAAAACTTGACCCGTTCCCTGGGATCGGTTCTCCATCCTCAGTCGTTTTTTGACAGACCTGTGGCCTGGCGAGGGCCCCGAGGGACCGAAAACTGGCAAAATCATTCCGTCGACTTTTTCACGACACGAGTGGGTATGGGCCACTTCCACCTCCTCCTCCTCCTCCTCCTCCTCCTCCTCCTCCTCCGCCTCCTCCGCCTCCTCCGCCTCCTCCTCCTCCTCCTCCTCCACCTCCTCCTCCTCCTCCATTTCTTTTCCTTCTAAATAATGATACCGGAGAGAAACCCCAATCAGAAACTTTTGGGGGGCTCTGGGGCTACGGGGCTATGGGGCTATGGGGCTATGGGGCTATAGGGCTAGAGGACTAGAGGGCTATAGGGCTATTGGGCTGTTGGGCTATAGAGCTAGGGCTATAGGGCTATAGGGCTATAGGGCTATAGGCTATAGGTCTATATGGTTATTGGGCTACAAGGCGTTAGGGCTATTGGGCTGTAGGGCTCTAGGGCTATAGGGCTATAGGGCTATAGGGCTAGAGGGCTAGAGGGCTAGAGGGCTAGAGGGCTAGAGGGCCAGAGGGCCAGAGGGCTAGAGGGATAGAGGGCTAGAGGAAGGCTATAGGGCTAGAGGGCTGTAGGACTATTGGGCTATAGGGCTAAGGGCTGCAGGGTTATTGGGCTGTTGGGTTATAGGACTATAGGGCTATAGGGGTGTAGAACTATAGGGCAATAGGGCTCCAGGGCTAGAGGGCAACGGGGCACCCGGGCACCCGGGCACACGGGCACCCGGGCGGGCCGCCGAAATCGGCGACGCAGCTCCCGGGCACCTAGGCACCTGGGCACTCGGGCACCTGGGCGCGCCGTCAAAATCGGTAGCACAGCTAACCTAACCATATGAACCTGCAGCAAGCTCTGGTTGTGGAACATCTCCCTGTCGCACTTAGGGCGGGCCGAGCGATTCGCCTGAGACTTCCTTACAGTTTATGATTCTGAAGTATATAAAAATTGGCAACAGCTTCACAGATGGAGGGCGGGTGGCTTTCAATGTGTGGCTCTCGCCTTAGCGCCGCGCACACTTGCTTTAAAAAACTGCAAGGAGCTTCACGGATTGAGGATAACCCGATTTCAAAATGTGGCTCTCGTTTTAGCGCCGCGCACATTCGTGTCAAAAAGTTGCAAGAGTTTCACGGATCTCTCTCTCTCCTTAGCGCCGCGCACATTCGCTTTAAAAATTTGCAAGAGCTTCACGGATTAAGGGCGGCTCCTTTTCAAAATGTGGCTCTCGCCTTAGCGCCGCGCACATTCGTTCATACAATTTGCAAGAGTTCCACGGATTCCCACGATCAATGTACCAGATATGGTGTTTTGAAAGGACTCTGGACTTTGCGGGTGCAACAGTTACATTGGTTCACAGTGTTGAAATCCCAAGATCGTCAAGACGCAGCAGTCAGGTTGATCCGTGGCGTTGGAATCCCGAGAACAATGTTTTGGCATGCTTCCAGGTCTTCATAAGGTCGTCTTACAACGAGGCAGATCCCTCAATGGAAATACACCGTTGTAGGGGCCTATGAAGAGCGAGCTTGGAGCGAGGGTGTACTCCAACATCGTCGATGGTTCTTGGGTCTACCCTGGTCCTCCTCCTCCTCCTCCTCCTCCTCCTCCTCCTCATCATCATCATCATCATCATCCTCGCGAGGCCCGCAGACGCCCCCCCCCCAGGGCCCCGACCGTGCGCGTCGCGCTGGCGGTGGCCGCCAGGAGGGCAAGCAGGGCCGCCGCGGGCCGCATGGCTGCGTTGGCGCGCCGCTGAGCGGCGGCGGCGGGTCGGAGAGGCGGGGCCCCAGTGATGTGAAAAACGCTGGGGGTGTTCATGCTTCCGTATTCAGCTTTGCAGCTTCGGCCAACCAGCACGAACAAAAAACGGCAGCTCTGAACAGCCCAAAAACAGACCCACAGGCGGCGCTGCAAATAGACGGCACTATGAAGCGAAACTGAACCGAAAACGGCGCGAACGAGGATCCCCAAAACGAAGAAAAAAACGGACCCCAGGACGGAATCATAAACACAGGGCAGAAGCAACTCCCGCCGCGACAACGGACAAATCACAAGCGAAAGCAATACCACAACGCCCCCTGCGTCTTTGCCACATCATCTAAGGGCTGGGCGCCGGCGGCTCCGAGTCCGAGGGGGATGACGACACAAGTGGTGATGGTGATCTAGATCGTGATGATAGGGATCATGCGAATTAAGGTGATGGTGGTGATGATGATAAGGGAGACGGCGGCGATGATGATAGAACGAAAGATGACGACGATGGTTAACCTGAACATGAGCACCATGAAGATGATGACGATGATCATGACGAAGATGACGGTCTTGACCCTGAAGATCTCGTTTCTGATGGAATTGATCATAAGGAGCATCTTGGTGGCGACGCTGGAGATCTACATGATGATGATGAGGATGGTAATGGTGCGGGTGATGACGATGATAATGCGAGGGGCGACTCTCAACATGAGAACGGAACAGATGCTTAAGATGATACACTGGTTGGTGACTGCAAGGGTGATGGTTATTCGGGGGAAGAGGACGATGATGAAGATCATGATGGCCACGGTGATTACCAACATGTTGCTACTGATGACCGCATGGACCGCGATGAGGATGGCCATAACAATAAATAAAATGTTGCACAATGATGCTGATGATACTGACGGTGGCGGCAACCGTGAAAATGACGGTGACGACCATCCATGCGATGATCTTGATGGGGTTGATTGTTGGAATGGCGCAATACGCACTATGAAGATAACGACACTGACTTTGATGACGATAAGGGCACGGGTGACGAGGACGGTGGCGGTCATGGGATCATGGGGGCAGATGCCAAAGATGCAAACGATGATGGCGATGGTGGTACTGATGACGGCGTGGACGATGATGAGGACGGTGGCGATACGCATAAGCTGTTGAGGAAGACGCTGGTGATGAGAATGACCAACATGACGACAGTGATGATGATGATGATGATGATGATGATGATGATGATGATGATGATGATGATGAGGACGAAGACGATGACTATGCCGATGGTGTTTGGAATGCGGATGACGAACATGCTATCGATGACGATCGGAATGGGGATGGCGACGTGACTGATAATGCGGATGAAGTTCATGCTGCTGGCGATGAGGGTGGTGATGACGACGACGTTCATCTATAGAAGATGGCAACGATGTGAACGACGACAGTGGCGGTGGTAACCTGCAAGTCCATGCTGATGTTTGGCGGCATTGTTGACAATGGCGTCAAGGATGCTGATGACGATGCCGATGACGGTCAGTGCGTCGTTGAAGCGTTTTGTTTGTTCTCCAGCGGCCTCGGCCCAAGGGGCCCCCAAACTCAACGCGGCCCCCGCGGCCCAGACGCGCGCGGGGTCAGAGGAGACAAGGGAGACGGCACTCACAGTGCGTAGCTGCAAGCAGCGAAGAGGGAGGAGAGCGGAGGGAAGGAGGAGAGCGGAGAGAGAAAGGAGGGAAGGAGGAGAGTGGGAACAGGAGGGAAGGAGGAGAGTGGGGAGAGTGGAGAGAGGAGGGAAGGAGGGAAGGAGTGGAGAGTGGAGAGAGGCGGGAAGGAGGAGAGTGGAGAGAGGAAGCCTCCTCCACTCCGCCGCGGGAGGACGGCCGCGGGGGACGGGCGCCGTGCCTCCTCCGCGGCCTCCCGCGCCAGGCGCAGGGGCGGGGGCTGGGCGACGGCGACGGCGGCGACGACGACGGACGCCGCCGCCGCCGTCCGAAGCCCCCAAAGGAGGCCCCTGAAGGAGGCCCCCAAATGTTTTCAAGGTAGTTTTGCATTCTCGCCTTTCGTGTCCGATGAGCCCTTGGGGCCTCAAGATAGTTTCAAGGATGGCCCGACTGAGCCCCAAGAAGGGCCCGAGAGGGGCTCAAAGACGGCATCACCTGGGATCGCAGCTGTAGAATCCCTGGGAGTCGACTCCAAGGGCCGCTCACCACGCTTCCAAAAAAAAGCATCATCATCATCATCATCATCATCATCATCATCATCATCATCATCATCATCATCATCATCATCATCATCATCATCATCATCATCATCATCATCATCATGATCCGACGTGGTGATGCCGTCAACCTTGGTCGAAACCGAGGTCGGCAAAACTGGCACGTTAGCCTTCAGTGTTCCACCAGGGTGATGCAATGTGCTCACAAGGATAGCCAGCAAGATCGCACACGTACCGAAGCACGGCGCTAGCCCAGAGAGGAGCCTCGCCGTCATGCACATTGCGAAGCTGCGGGCACAGTGCCTGCGGGGCTGCGATTGGTCGAAGAACATCGTGGCGTTCCTGTGGGCGAAATCGTTCCTCATCGCGGCTGCGCCATCTGCTGATGGCCTCGCAGCTGGACCGGACGTCCGGGGCGAATTGCTGGTTGGCTTGCAGAACGGCCAAAAGCACAGGCTATTCAAGGAATGAACGGTGGTACCGGTGCGGAGGTGAAGGTAAATGCGAATGTGCATCCACACCGCCCTACGCGCACGTTCCGTGGATCGCGAGCTGGGATCAGTCCCAGCTCCGGTATCAACTAGAATTGCGGGGCTTGGACGCTGTACGAGAGAAAGAGTGGCGGCAATCAGATGATGATTGCATTGATGAACTTCTCCGTGCGTTATACAGGTACGCGCCGGCGCTGAAGCCAAACGGCGGCAGAGCATCCTATTTGAGTGAGGAGGAGGAGGAGGAGGAAGAGGAGAGGCGAGGAGCACAGAAAAGGAGAGCTGTGCACAGTGGAAGAGGAGGAGGAGAAGGTGGCGGCGGATGAACGGCAGGATGAGCAGGAGCAAGGGGAGGAGGATTGCACGCCACTAACGGGGGACAGAGAGAGAGAGAGATTCCAAAAACCCTGAGGGGGCCCATCGAGAAGGACCTTGTCACCACGGTGCGGCTCGGCATAGGCTGCACACCGTGGGCCAGCGACAGGGACCACTTGCGTCCAACTGGCCTCCAGATTCCCGAACTCTCAATCGCCTGCCCAGCTCCCAAGATTCACACTCCTGGAGCCCAAAAGCCTGGAGGCAGTCTGAGAGGCAGAGATTGGCAGAACCAGAACACGGGGGGGGGTTCGCAACCCTGGGCACTTTCGGCTGGGACCCCATCCCGACTTCCTGGAAACGGGGGCCGAAAAGCCCGACTGCCTGGGCCCCTGGAATTCTGGCAGGGCCCAGCTTGCGTGCCCGGCTCGGGTGCTTCAGCTTGCAAAAACTGGTCGAAATTGTCTTGCCAGCTCCTACGCTGGAGTGGGCCGAACCAGCACGGACGACAAGGAGTTACAGAAGCAAGACCTGGAGTAGGAGGAGCGGGAAGAGCGGGAGGAGCAGGAGGACAAGGTAAAGGCCAAGGATCCACTAGTGTGGCCCGCGCCAGAGCGAGAGCGCCACTCTGAACGACGGAAGCAAAGCGCCGATGCGACAATGAGACCAACGCTGCAGCGGGAGCATCATTACGAGACGCCGAAAACCTTCCGATGTACAAACAAAATACGTGAAAGGAACATTTGAACTCCTGTGTTAAAACAGTATGCGAAAAGGGCGGACACCTTCTGGGAGTAGTTGCGGGAGAGAGCAGAGTAGCACTCACATTGAGCGACTGCGGTGGAGGATAGGAGGACTGAGGGCAGAGTTTGGGGGAGGAGAAGGAGGAGGAAAAAAAGGAGGAGGAGGACGACGGCGACGACGAGGAGGACGACGACGAGGAGGAGGGAGGAGGACATGGAGGAGGAGGAGGAGGAGGAGGAGGAGGAGGAGGAGGGCAAGGACAGGGAGGATGAGGAGCAGGAGGAGGACGAGGAGGAGAAGGAGGAGGAGGAGAACAAGGACGAGCAAAAACGACCCCAAGCCGCCCACCCGTCACTGCCCGGGGGGAGGAGCGGGCACCCCCCCCAGCCCTCGGGCCGCCGGCGAAGAAGCAGGGACCCGCCCGGCTCGGGAGCTCACGGCTGCTGCGAGGGCACGGCAAGCCGGCGAACGGGGGAGGTGCGAGGGGGAGGGGGGGAGGGGGAGGAGGGAGGGAAGGAGGGAAGAAGAGAGGGTAGGGGGAGGAGAGGGGGGGGATGGGGGAGGGGAGGAGGACAAGCTAGGCGCGCTCGCGTCATATCTGACATCCGACCCCACCCACCCAACCCATACCAAGGCGTAGATCCCCTCTCTACTCGCACAATCGGATGTCGAGCAGGGCAAGGATCCGAAAGGGTACGCGATGCATTGTAGAGCACGGCATGGCATGGCGTAGAAGAGCACCGCAAAGCGTAGCACCAACCTAGCATTGCATTGCATGCCGTGGCATGGCACGGGAAATGACGCCAGCGCTGCAGCGGGAGCACGAGTCGAAACGAGCGGAAGCGCGGAAATGAAGCCAGCGCTGCAGCGGGAGCACGATTCGGAACGAGCGGAAGCACGGAAATGAGGCCAGCGCTGCAGCGGGAGCACGATTCGGAACGAGCGGGGCCCGAAAATGAGGCCGGCGCCTCAGCGAGAGCAGCATTTTGAAAAAAAATGCAAGCGAAAACCCAACTCCGGGGAAACCTGTTAATAAGAAAACAGTACTCTCAAACCGTCATCAGGGGAGGAGGGAAAGTAGTATTCATATTGAATAATTGTAGGGGAGGAGGAGGAGGAGAAGGAGGAGGACGGGGAGGAGGAGGAGGAGGAGGAGGAGGAGGA